TATAGCATCTCTGATCTAGACATTTATTTAAAGAATTTTAATAAAATAACATTTATTAAATAGACATTCATATTTTTTTATATATTTTTAATAAATTTATTTTATTTAAAAATATTATATTGACTAAAACTTAAATAAAAAATCTTAAAAGTTAAAATTTAAAGTTTTAAAATATTAAAGTAAAAAATTTATTTATAAAAAAATATATTTTTAAATATAAAATAAGAAGTTATTGTCTATTAAAAATATATGAGATGAAGGCCATGTATTAAAACATGATATATATATATATATATATATATATATATATATATATATATATATATATATATATATATGTATATATATATAGAGAGAGAGAGAGAGAGAGAGATAGAGAAACGGCTATTTTTTATTTTATGTAAGTAGCTGATATAAATATGATTATAAATTATGTCTAAATAAATCTTATTCTAATAAGATATTTATAAATATGTTAATTAATATAAGGACACAAAGTGAAGTATATAAAGTTACTAATACAATATATAAGATACTCTAAAATCTTTTAAGAAAATATCTTTATATTTTTCTTGTATTTCTAATAGTATTAAACATTAAACTCATTAATATAAAATATGGTTTGCGTATAACAGGTTTAGAAACAAGAAAAAAGAAGAAGTAATTGTTATAAACTACATACCTATTTAAACTAACTTATTTTATAAAAACAAAACTCTAATATTTTCAGGAGAGTATAAGGAATTATATATATATATTCGAAATTGACATAGGAGATTTTTAATAGGCTTTTGTAATTTGTTTTTATTTTGTTTACTCGCTGAAAAATTTATTTGTTTGATAAATAAATTTTTAATAATTTAAAGTAGATTGTTTAAAATACTATTTCCAATTTTTTTAAAATATTAGTGTATACCTTGTATGTTTTTATTTCATTTTACTTTCAATTTTTTTTAAAATTTTTCTATTTCTTTATTTTTTTACATAATTTAAGATTTTTGGTATTTCTGTTTTACTTCTACATTTTTATTTTAATTATTTCAATCTTAACTATATTATTTAACATTGTATTTAATATTTTTTTAAATATTATATTAATTAAAAAAAATGACATAGACTCATGTATATGCTAGTTTATTTTATTTTTAGCTAAGTTGAAGATATTTTACATACAATATAATAATAATAATAATAATAATAATAATAATAATAATAATAATAATAATAATAATAATAATAATAATAATAAAATGTATAATATTAAAAAATAGAATATATTAGTAAAACTTAAAATGTAATAAATAATTGACCTACAGAGTATAAGATTTTAGAACTAATTCAAATTTTAAAAGATATATGAATATCGAGACGATTTAGAGGTAAGACCTAAAAACACAGGTCAGATTCAGTATTATAGATAGTCAAAAGTTTTAAAGTATAAATGAAATCCACAATCCTTAATACATTTTTCATTGTTTTATTTCACTAATTTATTTTTTCAAACTTTCATTAGTAATACTTTCAAATCATCTAAATTAAATACATTTAAATCCCATCAAATAATTTCTCATACCTTGGGATAAATGTGATATAATTAGAAAATAAATTTTGCAATATTTTAAAAACACATAAATTAGAATATATATAATATTTTTAACGTATAGAGACAAAATAAATAATATTTTAAAAATTAAAGGAAAAAATATGTAATATTTTGAAATATATGAGGGAAATAATAAGTAAAATTTTGAAAGTAGGGAACAAAATATAAAGCTAATAAATAATAAAAATATTGACATTTGCAACCATGAGTACAAGTCCATTACACAACAAATAACTATCGACATTTTTTGTTAATTTTATTTGTTACTTAAAAATATATTGTTTGTAATAAAATATTTTAGAGTGTTTAAGAGACAATAAATATCAACATTTCTTGTTCTTTTACTGTTTATCATTTTTCCTCATATTTTTAAAATATTTTTTTCTCATTCTTAAAATATGAAAATATTGTACATTTTGCTTTCTACTTAAAAGTATTACTTATTAGGTTAATTTCACGTCATCAATTAATACTATCGACAAAAATTGTCATGGTCAACTAACAAAGATGAAAGTTTCACAAATATTTAAAAATAAGAAACAAAATGTGCAAACAATACACTTGAGAAGAAGAACTCATGGAAAAGTGTTACTTTAAGAACAAAATATTTCACTGAAGAAAAAAAAAAAGGGTTCAATCATATTATAAGTACACGTTATGTTTTCATTTGTAAGGATCATCTTCAGAACCAAATCTAAGACAGTCAAATTAAAAAAATTAGAGAACCAAAACTAAATTTAGTTACATTTATTTATAAAAATTAAAATATATTTTTATTTTAAATTTAATCACACACTGGTATATTAATTACATTTTAATTTAAACAATGTATAAAATTACTAATTAAATCATAAAAATAAGAAATTTAATAACTAAAACAATTTACTAATTGTCCAAATGTATCCCATTGTAAATTATATAATTAATAACTCTTTACCTTTTCAACTAGACATCTCGAAATTATTTTGAATGTACTTAAAAAAATGTATATCTTCTATCTTTTAAATGTACTTTTTTTTCAAAAAATTAATGTATGTCTCAATTTTTTTTTTCCATCATCTCAATTCGTTCTCTATATAATTTTAATTGTTTGTATTGTTTAAACCACCCTCTTCTATCTCTATCTCTGAACATTTTTATCTTTCTATATCTAAACAAAATTCAATAGTTTTTTAAGTGTTAAATTATCTATCATAATTTTAAAATTACAATTATATATTTAAAACTATTTATTAATTATAAATATTAATTAAACCATAATTTGTATATTCGAAAACATTTATTCACTATACATTTTAATTATATAATATAAATATCGATTACATGTAATTTACAACCAAAATGCTAGTTTTTTTTCTTTTGATAGATCAACAAAAATACTAGTTAAATAAATAAAGTTGCAAATACATATTTTCTCCTCATATTTCACAGCTCCTTAGGGGATAATCCTTTTTAAAGTTGTTTCGACAAAATTAATTCATATTTTCAAATAATTTTATTCATCCAAATCACAAACGATTATTCTATTGTGTCAAATTATTTTTCTCTTAGTTTCTTCTCTCCTATATTCGCGCAATCAAGTTAAATCTAAATGACATATAAAACTAAATAATTAGCGAGGACTATTCTATTTGAATCTTAATTTGGATTTGGATCCTCATTCTTATAATTATAATAAAAAAAAATACTGAACGAACTTATATTCAACATATTTAAAGCTTTTAATTTGATGATAAATGTAATGTTTTGCAAAATTTCAATAACCAATAATAAGTAGAAGCTAAGAATGAAGGAACAACATGCATCGATCGTCCTTTCTGAAATTATTATTAATAGTGTCAGAATCATATAGTAATTATTACTTGTTGCAATCAATTGGGTTTGTTTTTTGTTTCTTTTATTTTTCCAAGGCAGACAAATCTACATAAATTTATGTGGACACGCATTTATATCCACTTAATAATTTTAGTGGCATAAATGCAAAACAACCTTTTTTTGTTTTTTCTGGACAGATTGGGTATATATATATATATATATATATATATATATATATATATATATATATATATAATTGAAAATCTTAATCCAACCTAATTTGAAATTAATTATAATTGGATTAGATTGATTGGTGAATCTATTAAAGAAAATTCTTACTAAAGTTTTCGGTAATTTTAAAAAGATAAAATATTATAAAACTAGTAAAGTAGGGAAATAGTTGATGGTTAAGAGATGATAAACTTGAATCTACAAGATTTTTAAATTTTTAATCGCACTAAAAATTTGCCTTTGTAGAGTTTCACAATTTTAGACCAAAAAGAAGTTAATCAAACTATAATTAATTACTCGTTCACTTTAAACAATGAACTTCAATTTAGTTTTAAAAAAATAAATCCAATTTGTGAATTCAACTTTTCAACCTATTAGAACCTCGCAAATAGTGTGTAAATGGTCTAAGAAAAAAATATAAAACAAATGAAGTATTTAAGAAACATAGTAATAATATTTGAAATAAAGTTTATAAAAGAAAAATAATTCCTATACTTTGCTGAAAAAGAAAGTACTCATTTTGCACTATAAGAGTCATATAAAAAGGGAATGAGAACATTTATTTAAGAAAGTGAAAAGGATAAATGACTAAATAATAGTTAATAAAAATTAAAATAAACTGGACTAAAGGCTTTAGTGTGGCCTGCAGCTCAGCCCAATTGCAATCCCGGCTCCTGGGCCTGAGACCCGTTGAGTTTGCCACACGTCACATCTATGGTTTCCGCGCGAAGTTTCAGTTTCGTTCTTCTCTAGTACGTTTCTTTCTTCTCTATACTCCGTTTGTCTGCATTCACACGCTAATGTTACTCGAATGCTTCTAAACAGGGCTAAAGAATCCCTAAATCCTCAACACTGTTCATTCTACTCACACACTCACTCCCCAATTTCCCAGCTTTATCTCACCATGCACGCTCTAATGTAAGTACACTGCAGTTTTTCCCAGTTACTTTTCTTTGAAATTATTTATTTCTTCCCCATTTTTCTATTGGTAGTACGAAAACTTAACCCAAGATGAAAGTAATTTTTTTTTTGTTAAGGTAGCTTATATTCATATAGTTCAGTATAATACCTGGAGAAAGTAGTGGCATGTCTTGATACTAACATGAACATGAGATGTGGACTCTTCTAGAAAAAAAAAAATGAAATGAAATAGAATTGGAAACCATTTTTTTTTATAAAGGCAAATCGTGGTTTAAATAAAGAGTAAGAATCATTGTGATTTGCTGCCTGGTCATGTGTTTTCAATTCCTAATTATTATTTTTAATTTATCATGTTAAAATTTACATACGCAGGGTTTGTGAGACAATGTAGGTCTTCTTTAACGAAAATATTGCATAGGAGAAACCTATTATGGAGGCAGTTAAAGAGAAAATGAAAGAAGATAAACAAATGTCAAACCTCGATGTTGTTAGCTATAGCATGTCAGAAAGTTGTAGGTGTAATGAATTGGAAGAGAGAAGCAAGATAGCTGAAATGAGGTGTGCTGAGTTAGAATTTAAGCTTCAAAAGAAAGATGAGCAATGTGAAGCACTTGAGGCTAAACTCTGCGCACTTGAAGGTGAGGTGGAGGTTTTGAGGGTGTCTAGTGAATGCCTTAAGGAGAAAAAAGTTGCCATTGTAAAAAAGGGAGAGGTGGACACAGCTATTGATTTGACAGATGATAATGAGGTTGAACAACTAATGATTGAAAACAGTGTTTTGGAATGTGAGAAGAAAACGGCTGAGAGTGAGGTTCAGGTCTGGAAAGACAAGTACCGGAAACTGGAATCATGGGCCTCACAGTTGAAGCTGGAAAGTGGCAGTTATTACCATGAAGAAAATGGAAAGGAGGAAAGTAATGTGATTAGGACTGGTAGTAGTTCGCATCTAGAACCAATTATAGATTCTAAAGTGCTATGTGTTGAGAGAGTTAAAAGACAATTGACTTTTGAGATTGGAGAGAGTCCCAGCAAAAGGATGGCTCCATCTACACCCTTTGTTGCAAAGTCTGCTTCTGTTGTTGTAATTGATATCGTTGACAGTGATGATGAACCCATTATTGCCCAACACCCTGTGCTAGATAGTCACGGTAGCAGAAATATTTTGGTTTCATCATGTTTTGCTACAGAAAATGCAAAGATGTCTAGCAGTTATCCCCAAAACAATGAGGAAGATAGGAATTCTGGTGAAGATTTACCTTTTGTGGTAACACCCAAGAGAAAACGAAATTGTAATGTTGTGACAAGTGAGTCAGAACGTGATGATGATGACGATGTTCCAAATTGTAAATTTGAGAGGATGCATATTCAGGAAGGAAGTCCTGATAAAGTCAGATGTGACACAAATAACTCAGTGGCTGCTTCTACTTCTGCAGACTACAAGGTTACAGGCACTGTAACACCTAAGCAGCGTCTAATGCCACTGAGAAAATTGGCTAAAAAAGGTCAAGAAGGAGCTGATACATCTAGCAAGGCCAAACATCAGCTAAGTAATCCGACGGATGATGATAATGTATCTCAAGACGATTTGTCAGACTGTGAAGATGAAAGTTTGAATGATTTTATTGTTGATGATTTTGATGAATTGTCTTGTGATGATGATACATCTAGCAAATCAGAAGATGTACCAGATAATCACATGGATGATTCACGAGATGTATCTGATGAGGACATGAACTTCAGTAAGATAATATCACAAATTCACAGGAGGAAAGACCACATGGAGTGGGAATTTGAGGCTGACATGCTTTCAGCTTTTGGGAAAGATTCTCAATTGTGTATGAAGGCCGTGTGTGCTCTTTATCGGCAGCAAACTTCTGAGGAACAGATGAGCAGGGGAACATTGTATACCAACCAGCGAGGATTCAGCAAGTTTGATGCTCACAGGTAGAGGCACAAATAATAATTTTAATAATGTATAATGTTGGCTATGGTGCATTTACTCAACGTGTTACAGCATAAATATTATTTTTGTTTGTTATTGGAGATTTGATGACCGGGAACAAAACTATAAACTATTTAAAAAAAAAAACTAATTTAAAATTGTTTTAAAATTTAGTTAAAATTTATTTAGTTTCATCTTTGTTAAACTTGTTCTGTTTTGATAATTGCATTTACATACCAAAAACTAAGAACTTGCAATAACCACTAGCTATTTGGTGATGAGAAGCTCAAAAGTATTTGTAGGTGGTGATGTTGAGAGCAGCAAATAATAAAAAAAAAAAATAAAAAAATCAAAGGTTTGTATACATTAAAATGTAACACATCTTAATTTGTATGAGTAATGTTTCAAAAGGTTAGTGTAGTTTCAGAGAATCTTTCAGAACTGGAGATTGAAATTTATCCTTATATGAATTCAGCATCATCACTTGGTTATGCAATTTCTTTGAATTGATCTGATAGTATCTGATATTAATGTAGTATTATGACTCGAGGAAGAAATCTCCTTTAATCTGATAGAAAAAAATATTGCTTTGTGAACGCATGAAAGGTAGTGAAACAGAGTACACTCCATACGCAGACGTTGCCCTTGGCCTCAGCTTTTGCAATCTCATCTCATAAACTCAAATAATATCCCTTTTGTGTCTCTCTTATATTCGTGTTAAAGACCATTGGAAAAGTACTTAGCAGAAAGAACTAGCTATTTAAGTTAGTGATTTCAAAGTCTATTTTCTATCTATCAGTTTTTTTTCACATATTCTTGCTTTTACAGAGGCAGCACTTTGGCCGAGTTCCTAACTCATGGAGATCCTGGTGGTGGTTTGAAAAAGTCTGTCAAGGAATTGCAAGAGCATGACCCTATGGCAGTTGAACTGTGCAGAAACTTTGCCATTCGCTACTCAAAGCAACTATATCAGATCTACAAAAACAAAGAGAATCCTTTCTTTCCTTAACTTCATTCGTTCAGTCTTAGGATTCGCAGTTATGAGTATACTAGTTGAAACAATCACCAACGAGATTATATGTTTATTGGTTTCATTTTGTATATATTATTATGGTGGCCATACGTGCATCATGCATATACTCCCATGATTATCCAAGGATATCTGTCCACTGTATCATTTTTTTAGTAATTATCGCAAAGAAAAATACATTATTTTTTTATAATAATTATTTTAAAAGTCATTCTAATTGGTTAACATGGCCAAATTTTTTACATTTAAAATGCTTAGAAATTAAACTCCGAAGTTATAGTTCAAACTATGGTTCAAGGGTTTGATTTTAAGGTAAACCAAACATATATTAAGCAAATATGAGTTGGTTATGCCAAATGTTGTTAGTAACAATATTGAACAAAAGAAAAGGAAAACTGAGAATAGTAGGGTTCCCCTGAAGGTGCGGGTGCACCCTTCATTCCACATCTCAAAAGAGGTGGCTCCTGTGACTATGGAAGCCTGCATTGGCACCATAAAAGGGAGTTCATAGGGCTCTTGAATCTCACCACCTGAACATCTTTCCTAAACAAGTTTTGTTTAGTTGTCTTCTCTCTCCTTTCTTTCTCTCTTTTAAGTTTGAGAGAATAAGAGAAAGAAAGGAGAGAGAGAGAAAAAAAAGAAAGACATATACTTCTAACGAGAAACAATGGCCGTTTCCAGTGCTTCATTCAGGGTGGTTGCCTTCCTTATCATCATCATTGCAGCTCTTATGACAGTGGCTTCTTCACAAGTCACTGCTCCAGCTCCTGCCCCAACCAGCGATGGTAATGCTCTCTCTGTTTTAAATATGTCAACTTTTATATGGGATCACATGCATTACAAGTAAATCTGTCAAATAAATTTCGATACTTTAAACGGAGATGTACCAGGTTCATCAAAGAAAAATAATTAAAATTGGTTATTTTGGATGAATAAGATCGTTTTTGAAACTATACAATTGGGACATATTGCTTATAAACTGTTGTTCATATTTTGCAGGCACCACAGTTGACCAAGCCATTGCATATGTCCTAATGCTTGTGGCTTTGGTGCTGACCTATATCATGCATTGAGCCATCAAATTGATGGATGGTAACAAGACTTCTCCAGGCAAAGAGAGGCATTGGTGTCATTAGGATTAAGGAGGGAGAGAGATTTTTATTGAATTCATGCATTATTGTAATATTCGTATCAATTCAATCATTATCTCCTACTTCTGACTTCTTACTATCTATTTATCGCCCTTTCTTTCTCTTATTCTTAGATTTGGAAAGAAGTTAAAAATAATAATAATAATAATAATAATAATAATAATAATAATAATAATAATAATAATAATAATAATAGAATGAAACTCTATGGGACAGGCGAGGTATGAAAATGGAAGTAATGTGGTGATGCCATTCTAATATACTATAAATAAAGTTATATATATATATATATATAATTTCATATTATTTTTATTTTTCATATGGAATAAATGAATTAATAAAACTATGTAAACTAATTATAATTTAAAAACAAATTAAGTTAACATATTCTAGAATTGAGTTAAGTTTAAGCTGAAAAAGAAGTTTTATGTCAAGTTGACCTTTGAGTCGAGTTTTTATTATTGAGTGAAGTTCAGTTTGACTCAATTACAAATCATAGGATATGAATATGTTAATATTATCAAATATTTGATGCACACTAGATAATTTATTAGGTAATAAATAATTTCATTATGCGATACAAAATATACAGACTTACAGTTTCTTGTTCAATTTATAATTTTTAATCCCTTCATTTTAAAACATACATGTTTTAGTTTCTCAATTTTTTTAATTTGTAATTTTAATCCACTTTTCAATTTGTCACGTATATTTATTTCTTTTACTAATTAATTTTTTGATGGTACATTAAATTAATCTTAGATTAAGATTCAATTAAGCCAAAACAAAAGAAATAAAATACATGTTTATGTGAATATTGGACCAAAATTGTGTGAACAGGGAAACTAAACGTTTCTTTATTAAAATGGGAAAGTAAAATTGTAGATTAAGCAAAATATAGATGAACCGAAATTGTTTTAAAACGAAATAGATAACGACAGTTGTTAAGTTTACATGATAATTTTGTATATATTTTTAATTTTTTATGATTTTTTATTTGTAATTTAAGCATCTTTAATGTTCCTTTTTATAATATTATGCTTTATTCTATTTTTGAAACTGTACAAATTATATAAAAATCAACTAGAAGATCGATTACATAATTGACAAAACTAGATTTTATAATATATAAAAAAAAGTATGATAATTCATTTTTGTTATTCTTGCAAATTTTAAAAATAATAGCATTACTTAATTTAATTCTTAAATTTTTTTAATATATTAGAAACTTTTATGTCAAAAATACTCTATAAGAAATTTATTAAATATTTATTAGTTTAGAAAAAAAGTATTTAATCATTGACTAAATTAAAAACTGTTTTAGTTAAATTGATTTTGAAGTAAAATTATAATTTGATAATTTAGAGCATAGTTTTCACGATTTAAAGTATAATTTTCAATTAGTAATTAAAGTTAAAGATAAATTAAATTTATAAATTAATTTAATTAAAATAATTTGTGTCTTAGTCAATATAATGTTTAATATTTTTTTAGTTTTTAAATTAATAGATGATATTTAATAAATATTTTAGAATAATATTGAATATAATTATTATGATATATAAACTATTATGTATACTATTATTGTTATTATTATTATTATAAATAATCCTATAATCCTGTAATCATTGAGAGAAAAAAATTAAGAATTTACAATCTAAAAAAAATTCATTATAATACATCACTATTAAACATTTAATTGTCATTATACTTTATCAATACACAATAAATTACTAAATAATAATAAATTATAATAAAGTGATTTATGTTAGACCATCAAACAAATAAAAGGATGGGTCACCAAAACAATGTGACATGGTGAGAATAAATGATATTTTTATTGTGTGCAGAATTTATCAGATCAATTATAGTTATAATATTGGAAACATTAGTTTCTGACTCAATGTAAATGGTGGATGAAAATAAAACATTGATACAAATTATAATAAAAGTTTTTTTTATGAAATACAAATATGACACTACATAAGAAGTTACCGTTTTGGACTTTTACCCATCACTGTCTGATTTGGTTTTCTATTTGCAATAAGGTATAAGTTTATGATCAAATATCTTATTCAATATTCTTCATAATTTCACTGATTTTGTAACAAAAAATAAGATAAAAATAAAAAATAAAAAACTTGACAATATATTTCTATCATTTACTTCAAAAGGAGAATCCCGACCGTAACAAAATTTCTGCTTGTGCAGCAAAAAGATTAAAAAAAAGCTCAAAAAATCCTAAGAGTTTATCCTATGCCGATATTTTTCCTACAAGTATTAGTTAGGAATGACTCCTGTTCCAATAAAATATTGTTGTGCAATCTCCAAAATTTCCGAGCGAAATTTGTTTTGGCAGCAAAAAAAATTGGCTTAGTGAGAAGGATCCGATCCAATTATGAAGATGTTTTTTTCCGATGATGTAGAACAAACTTTACCACTTCATAAAATGAGACCACAAATCCAACAGAAGGGCCTACTCGACCAACTCGTGGACCAAAACCCGTAAACAATCCTTTGAAGCCTCCATCTCTGAAAGAAGATCACAAAAATTTGTTTAACTCAAAACAAATCAAAGGGAAGGAGTAAAATCTAGGTTGTTAAGGGTTTTACTCCTTGCAGAGTTAAGATCAAAACTAGATTGTTTGTTAAAAACCCTAACACTTGCAGCGTTAGACATTCTTCAGAGTAAAAATCATAGCACATGGATTGGAATGCATCCAAACAATGGCATACCTCCACACCTCCGTTAATGTTTGCCTTGTAGTCATTTTCAATGCCTTCATAGGATCCTTCTGCAATTTTATTTCGAAAATATTCCATGCGAATAAGACCACCTTATCAAATATATATGAAATTGTATCATTAACTCAAATATTTGGTGAAGACAAGTGAAACCTCTATCTGCCTTCGAGTTTTTGCTACATCTAAAGGACATGTAGCTCCAGATGCTAAAGCTCCTGCAACAAAACCAGCTCCGAAATTTGCCCCAAGAACACTAAACACGTTGGCCTCATCATGTCTAACCAAACTAAGAAGTTTTCTTCTAGTCTGCAATGCAAGAGTAATTGGCATGTCAAAACAAAGATAAAGAAAACCAAAAGTTAACATGTTCGATGATTCATGAAGGAAACTCACAGGTTCAAGAGTCGACCAACAAATGGCAGAGAAGGGTACATCTCGGGCAAGTTGAGCACCCATGCCAGTCCACAAAAGACGATAACCTTGCACTATTATGAAACGAAGAGATTCAACAACAATTACATGATTATCTAATAAATCTTTTAGCATCTCATTAATAACTATTCCTGAGAACTTAATTTAAATTATCATCTCATTAATAAGATAAATGCAGATACTCATCAATTAACTTAAACATTGTACAATGATAAACTAAATAACCATACAATGTTTGTGAAAAAGTTTATGTATCATTCAGATAAGGAAATACCAACCAATTCAATAAATTTATAAATATAAGTACTTTAAATTTGTTATGGTTATTAGATGCTCATTCTGTAAAAAAAAAAAAAACTAAACACTTACAACTGTTTCGTGGACTATTTGTGCTTTTGACATGCGAGATAACACCTAGCAGAGTCTGAAACACACCAGGAGGCTTTTTACCAATTTGAGTCAGTTTAGATGCCTACATTCGAAATAATAATGAAAACCAAATAATTCTCCAAAGGAAAACAGTAAGAACCCAAAAAGTTTGTGGAATAGAACATATAACTTGAAAACAAAATAAAGGAAAATGTAATTCTTCTATAATCCATTGAGCATCAAGAAAGAAAAAACAAAATATATAACAAAACAAATAGGATACATTAAATGATGAAAGAAAACCACATTTATTACAATAGAACAATAGACAATTATAGCCTATGTTTGGCTAGGTGATAATATAAAAATGTTATATAGTAGAGAGGAATGCAGCATAATACAATAAAGACATGGTAATATTGTCTAGATATTTTATGATAAAATGGAACAAAATTCCTATTCCACTATTTGATATAAGAATGAAATTAATGATAATTTGTTTATTCTTATAACCCTTACTTTGCAAGGACTTATATTTCATGTAGTCCTTACGTACTACATTAGTAAGTAATAATAAGACACAATCAAAATTTAGGATAAGTAGGGGTGTCAAAGTGAGCCAACCCGGACCACGGGTTGAGCTGAAAATAGATGAGCTCAACCCCTCACTTTTTGGCGAGCCAGAAATTTTACAACCTGGCTCAACCCACCACGGGTTGGTGGGTAAGGTGGGTTGGCTCACTAACCCATATTTTTTTAATTTTTTAAATTATATAAAAACTTCGGATGTAGAAACTTATGATTTCTTCCTTTCTTTCTCAACATCAGTATCTTCGTTATTAACCGAAATTGACTCATTGAATTTTTCATTAATAATAAAATCATCACCAATACAATTTACATTAACGCTTTGATGTATTGTTTCGCATTTCATACTCGTAAATTAATTTAAAAGAAAGAAGTAAAAAATTCATATATTAAAGAGATATACGTATAAATCAATAACAAACAACAAATAATGTATAGATGCTACAATTTTCAAATAAAGATTCATCAATCCAATAATTTTGGTTATGAAACAAATTTGTACCTTTGAAAGCAATACAGTGGTTTAGGTTATTGTTAAGGTTCCAACATAAAACCAATTGGCAATATGTGGAGTAGCCTAACATGTATTTAAACCATACCAAATGATATGAGGTAGGCGATGTGGGACTTTCAACACATCCCCTCCAACGAAGCCCGCCGAACCAGGCAAAAGGTACTTTTGACCCAACTAAAGGGCAACTTTTTGCCCATGACAATAACCGGAAAGATGTTAGGCTTTGGCTCTGATACCATATTAAGGTTCCAACATAAAACCAATTGGCAATATGTGGAGTAGCCTAACATGTATTTAAACCATACCAAATGATATGAGGTAGGTGATGTGGGACTTTCAACAGTTATGAAACAAATTCTTATCTTTGAAAGCAATACAATGGACATGGTGTAGTGGTGCGGTGGACAGATAATAAGACAAGTGACTAAAGTGCAGCGACAAACGTAATGATGTAGCGAACAACCGATAACAAGTTTAAGTGAGGGTTTGGCTTGTGGCGACGACTAATAATGTAGGGTAGAGGTAAAACAGGATAACATCAATTAAGGTTACTAAAGTATTATAATTATTTTAAAAATTTAAAATAAATGATTAATTAAGGTTAGTATGTTATTATAATTATTTTTAAAAATTAAAATTAATGGTGGGTTGCGGCCAACCCACCATAACCCGTTTAACCCGTGGGTTAAGTGAGCCGAGTTCATTTTTAACCCATAATCGGTAGAAATAAAAAAATCGAACCCAACCCGGCTCGAACCCGTGGTGAGCCGGGTTGGCTCACGGGTTAGAACCCATATTGACACCCCTAAGGATAAGTGTCACTGGAACTTGGAATTGGACTATAATAAATCATGACAACATTGATTCAGATGATTTCACTTCGTTGTGAAATAAATAGAACAAGATAAACCCTAAATTACATTTTTTCTTCTCATTGACAAATAAATTGAAAAGAGAAGGATAGCAACTATGACTTAAACAATCATTGCACTTCACCAATAAACTCAAAAAAGCCATAACTTTTACACATTGGGTGTCAAAATATAATATGGATGATTATCTTCAATACCTGCATACGAGTTCTAGCAAGTTCAATAGGATAGCAAGTTGCACAAGCTAGAGACCGAGCAAATGAACCAGCTACTAATGGAACATAAGGAGTTGTAGTTGGTGCATTTTTAGCAGTGAATTCCTCTAACCAATTGCGGAATATGTCATAGCAAGGAAGGTAAATTCCCACCTGATTTGAGCACACAAAAGTTATGCCAGTATATTCCTCTGCATTAACATAACATGTGCATTAATAAACAATAAATCTCTGTTGATTAACTTGTGAACCTACAGTTGGTACTGCAAGAGCCAGGCCAGCATTTGTGCCTGTCCATAGCTTAGTAAATCCCTCCTGCAATACCAAATTTGCATTGATTAATAAGTGTCTATATTCCTAAATGTAAGTGCATATGTAATACACAGAAATAACCACTTGAAGCACAAATGTTCTGAATACATGCACCTGACACAACTTCAACCCATGAAATATAAACACCAACCTGATGTATAATTTTGTGGATGACATCTAGTGTTCCTTTGTACCGAAAACACTCGGGAGGACAAATGGAAACCGTGCCCTGGATTCCAGCCCGGTGACATGATGGAGAACATCTTAAATCAGCAAACATCTAAGAAAACCATTGAAGCACAAATCTGTTAGGTTAGCTTTTTTAACAACTAAATTGGATTTCCAACGAAACAACCTCCAAGAAAGTGAAACACTTTACATGGATACAAAAAATTAATGGAACAGTGATTGTCATAAGGTAGCAACCAAAATTATGTTCTTTTGACGCACCATATTTGGGCCAAAACAAGCCATTCTACTGGTCATATTACTGAGTGGATGAGAATGTGCAACCCCTGCCGCTTGTGCTTGCAACCTTGTCTGAGGCATGGGCAAAACAAATCAGACCTAAAGATAAATAATTACAAGTAATGAAACTTAAACCCTCTTCCTAGTATATTATGTCATTTATCATTGCTGTGTTTCTCTCTTTCTTTCTCTTGGTACTCATGAATGATATTCCAATAATTAAGCCAAAACACACCAGGGGAAAATCACATTATGAAATAGCACATGTAAAATATTGACACAAACCGAACATACCAAGACAACACTCGAGGCAATCAAAACTACAAGAAAATATAGAGAAATGAACTATGTAGGAATTTCCGCTTTGTAGTAAAATTGAAAAAGACCTTGGCAACATCGAGGGGGTTGGCAATGATAACTGAAAGGAAGGCGGCCCCTGCGGCGGAGAGAGTTCGTTCTGTAATTCCCAAATTTTGAGTATTGGAATTTGGCGATGGAGGAAGAGATGAACATTCCCGTATATTTGTGTCCTCATTGTTTATTTCAATTGCAGGTTGCTCGATTTTCTTCGAAGCCATCCACAAATTTTGAATTCACTATGAATCTACCATTATTATTTTTTTCTATATGCTGCAATGACCTAGATGACTCAAATGGCTATGTATTATTTTTTTATTAATAGTAATTAGTAAAATAACGCTCTCCCAAAATAAGAATTGTTTTTGTGTGCTTTTAACAGGAAGAAAAATCAACATGGAAAGATTGGAATTCGACACGTCCTTTTTAAATAGAATAAACCCTATCAAATGTTTGTATAGTATAAGTATTAAAACTGGACACACGTTATTATTCTTTTGAAAATTTGTGATTCGGTAAGTTGAATCGGATATCAAAATAGAAATCAATTCATTATTTTTTTATTGTCTGATTTTAATTAAACTGGAACAAATTTAATAAAATTAGAAAATTGATTAAATTTTACGGTTAAATAGATTTTGGTCGATATATATATATATTGGATAAAAAAAATTAATATAATTTTTAATAAAAATTATAATATATTTTAATTTTTTTATTTTAGTAAACTTAAAATAATATTTGTTTTATTATATTTTTATTTTTTATTATTATTTTTTATTTTTAATATATTTTATAATTTTTATTATATGTTATAATAATTATGATAATAATTTTTATTATTATTATTATTAATAAATTTATTATATATTTATAATATAATAAAAATATTATTTTATTAAATTCGAAATCCAATCCAACCTCCGAACATTAAACCATTGAACACAGAATTGAACGAGGAATCCAATTTTAAAAACATTTCACGTAATAGAGTAAGCTTCTTTGTCGTTACAAATCTTCACTCCTACGCAAAACCCTGATCTTTTTCTAAGAAATCTAACTTATTTTACAAATCTTAGCTTTGAATTTGTTTCATAAATCTTAGCTATGAACTCTTTTCTTTTCTTTTTTTCACAAATTCGCGTATGAAAGCAAATCGTATAGTACGGCACCTATGCTTTGAATTGTTTTAGGTCTGTATATAGTTGATGTTTGTTTTGAATTTTGCGAAATGTAATATTGGAAATATTTTTCCATATTCATTACAAGGTAGTAATAAAAAAATGTTATGAATAACTTTTTTAGAAATTTTATATTTTATGTTTATGCAAATTTTATTTCCATGTTAAGGAATACAAATATTTCATTCTCATGAAAATGTAAATAAGATTTTTTTTTAATCTCTGTGTAACTTTGAGTTTACTTTTATTTTTACTTTTTAAAAGTTTTAACAATATCTCTAAACATAAAAAAAAAAACATATTTTTAGGTATATTTAAGTAGACAAATTTAAATGAAAATATTTTATTGACAAAGAATTAAATTGCATAGAGTAAATTGTTGAAACGAAAATGCATAAATTATATATATATATATATATATATATATATATATATATATTACTCAATTTGAACATATTAATTTAATAAATAATTAAGGTTTGATAAAGTTTAAACTGTTGTTACACTATACAAGTTTTTATGGACAATAACTCCTATCTATCAACAACTTCTAGTAATTGATCATAATAACTTTCAAAAATATAAGATTTGAGAACCAAATATAAAATATTTTTTATAGGAAGTAATCTTGTATATTAAAATAAACTATAAGAAAAGTAAAAATATTTCAATATATTCCGAAATAGCTGTTTGCAAATTTTTAGAATTTTAACGTTGTGAATAGTAAATTTTAGAAATTTAACATGTTCTAGAAATTCCCTTTTAGAAAAAAGTTACCAGAAGAACTAAAACATGACATCGATTTACTTAGTTTAGCCTTTTTCATTCACTTTCCCTGTTTTTTAGGAAAAAAATCAACAAAATAAAATTATGAGATTTATTATTGTTTTTAAAATGAGTTTTCAAATATTTTAAAATTTTGTTTAGTTAATATTTTATTAAAATAGTTTGGAAACAGTATTTATTTTTTATTTTAAAAAAATTATTATAATTTTTATTTATTTATAAATATCAATGTTTAATTTAATAATTACATTAATTTATCCATCTTTATTATTAACAAATTATCAAATTTATTTTCTTAAATTTTCTTACGATTTTGTAGGATCATTTAAACCATCCTCTTTAGCTTTAAATAATTTTTAAAAATAAAAACTAAATCAATCGAACACTTCAATGGTACTACAGTGTTATATTGTCATAAACTATTTAAGGCTGTGTAAAATGTTGTTTTCTTATTTTAATTTTATTTAGGTTATCATATATTAAGAATTTATTTATCTCTAAACATTAATTTAATAATCATTTTTATATTTTATATTATTATTTATCTTTTTTTTATTAATAAAATATTTAATATTTAAAGGTTGTTTATAGAATGTTATTCCTTTTTATTTATTATTAATTTTTTATTATTATTATCATAAAGTTTGCTCTCTCATCCTACTTTAGAATTCTGGATTTAAGACCAACTCCGGCCTCGTTTTAACGGGCCTGTATAAGTGGAAAGCTTTTGACGTGTACAATAGGATTGGGCGGAAACAAAAAACGCAAAGCCCAGGATTTTATATTTCAATTTTGGGCCTAAAACGAGGCCCGAGTCTGTTTGAAGACATACATTGCTGCTGGGCCTAAAACGTGGGAAATGATTATTAAAGGGTCGCTATCTTAAAAGGTGAAATTGAACAGAAAACCGAATACAATGAACAGAAATGGGCCAATTGTGAAGCAGAATCCCTTAAAAAAAAATAGCGATGTTGACGTCTCAATGGAGAAGGACCTGAAATTCTTCTTCCTCCTCATCATTTATAATATATGATATGTAGAGATCTATAGATGTAGGCAGGCATATATATAATGTTTCACATATGTAGCAAGATTGAATATCTCATCATCTCATAGTGTGTCAAGAAAAAAGGTGGTACCCTCCAAAGACTAAAATCATGGTAAGTCAACAACAACGGCAAATTATCAATCATTCTGCCTCAATAAGAGTTTTTCTTTAGTGATAACATTTTTAAGATTTTTTTCTTCTCATTTCTGACATTTCTGAAAATTTATCCTTTTTCATCTTTATTTTTAACTTTAATTGCATTTTTTAAAATGATTAATAAGCGAAAATAACATTGTATCACAACATAACTTGTTTTTATCAATCTAAAATATAATTTATCCATTAAAAATATTATACATTTTAATTATAATCAAATTTATATATTTAAAGGTATTTTTATATTATAAAATCTAGTTATATTAAAATAATTTTTATCTTGTGTACTGTTTATACATACATTTAGCCCAATATATTAAAAATATTTATTATGAAAAAATTAATTATGGTTTAACAATAGTTAAATCAGGAAACACGAGTTAATAATACTTTTACTAGATTAATAGTCAATTTTGTTTTTAAAACATTTCTAAAAATATTGTTATAACACATATATTTGTGTGTACTTTTAATATATTGAATTGTAAATATTGAATATAATGTAGTCCTTGAAATCTGCTTCACCAATTTAGCTTTTTAAAAATAATATAAAATTATGAGAACTATATGATTTAGGTTAAAACAGTTTTTTTTATATTTGTAGATAATATTAATTTTAGTACATTCATTTTACTAAACCTTGAATTAGACTTTCCTCTTATGTTACACTTTGTGTTTCTTTTAAAAATACCCTTAAATATTTAAGAAATTCCCATATATTTGGTAAAACTTTTTGCAAATATATTTATATATATGCGTGTGTTTAAACTATTGACCTACCGATGAGAAAATAAGCTAAGGTGTCAATATTTACACGATTTCTGCGTCAACCGTGCAACAACTTGCGAGGAATGTCGGAAAGTGTTCCACTTTTTCTTTTTCCCCTTTTCTTTCCAACTTTTTTACTTTACCTTTTTAACTATTTGATGGCCACAAAATTAAAACGAATAACGAGTGATATGTAGAATGCAAAAGAAGCAAGTAATGAAATTCTAAAACTAATTAGCATCATCATATAAAAAACACCTCTTTTTGATTTCCCATTGGATGGATAAGCTTGATTAGAACACAGTCAAACATGATGCATTAATTGAACAAATTCTCTTAACTGAATCCAGCATCAAGATATGATTGACATTAGACAACAACAAACATTCCTCCTTTGTCCAACTCTTTTTCAACATTCTCTTCCTCTTGTTTTAATCTTTTGTCTCACACTTTTAATTTATCATCAACTTTTATTTGTCATTACAAATGGTTTTATCATCTCCAAAGGGATGTCAAAGATAGTGTTTTCAGCCATGCAAGATATTTCGAGATTAACAAATTTTTGCTCAAATTTTAGAAAATTGTAAAGTTAGATTTACTTGCAAGCTCGACTTAAATTGATGAAATGATTTGGTATTTTTAATCTACCTTTGTTTCATTTAGTCTATTAAATCTGATGAATTAAGAATAGACGAAATATGTTAATACGTTTTTAAAAAATATTTATATATTAAAATAAAAATAATTATAATTAAAAATATTTTTTTATTATATTGTTAAAATATATAAATATATTATGATATTATAATTTAAATAATAAATATTAATAAATTAAACTTAAATTATTTATTATAATTAGATATTCTTAATACATAAATATAATAATTGTAGATTAATAATAAATAAATATTTAAAAATATTTTTATTTATTTAAACAAAAATACTTATATAAAAATATTAGTAACATGACCCATTAGTTAATCTTTTAAAAACAAATCAAAATAGTTTCAACTAACATCTTTTATCACCTTTATTTATTTATTTTGGCTACTACTAAAAATTTACAAATATAAACTAATTACAATGTAAACAATAAAATGTAGTTCATAGTAGATAAGTCAACTTATTAGATTAAATAGTTATATTATTCACATTCTACCTTTAATTTTCAAGCCATTTTGCACCGATTTTTTTACATTATGAATATAAGTTTTAAATTAATTACCGTAAGAGTTAACAAATTTATTATACATAACAATGTATAGTTTGATGATAGTATACA